ATACATCATTCCAGGCTCTTCTTGCTTTAATTGTCTCTGCTGAGAAACCTGAGGTTATTCTAATTGATTTCCCTTCATAGGTGATTGATCTTTTCTCTTTGACAGCTTTAAGGATCCTTTCCTTGGTCTGAATTGATCCTGTGTGGATTATAACAGTGGGATATCCTGTTTTGGTGTGGTCTATTTGGGGTTCTAAAAGCTTCTTGTATCTGAATAGGCCTATTTTTTTTTTCATGTTTGGGAAGTTCTTTGCTAGGATCCTGTTAAATAAATTTCCGAGACCACTAACTTCTGACTCTAGGTGCTCCTCTACACCCATTATCCTCAGATTAGGCCTTCTGATGGTGTCTCCTAAATGTTGAATAGATCTATCAGATTTCTTGGATTTGTCTTGGATAGTTGTATGTTCTTTCTCTATAATATCTAGGCTGTCTTCAATCCCATATATTCAATCTTCTGCATGGTCTAACCTACTGTCAAGACTTTCTACTTTGTTTTTTATTTTCTTTCCTTCTAATTGGTTGGCTTTGATGGCTTCAAATTCTTTCTTGGAGCTTTGTTTTAGATCTTGTATGGATTTCTTTACTTCCTTAATTTGGTGTTCAGTGTTTATTCTCAAATCCCTTAGTTGATTGGTTATGGTTTCATTGGACTCCCTTTCCTTCTGATGGGCTCCATTCAACATTCACTTTGTGGTCTCCCTGGATTCTTTCAGCTGTCTGTTTATGGATTCCATGAATACCTCTATTGATCTTTGTCTATTCTTGTCCCACTCACATAATTCCTGTATTACTCTTTGATTAGCTTCCTCACACTCACATAATTCCTGTATTACTCTTTGACTGTTCTCAGCCTGCTCTGTATTAATTTTTGGTTAGCCTCATCATGCTTGCAAAGTGCCTGTATTAATCTTTGGTTACCCTCACCTCGCTCCCTGTTATGCTCACACTGAGTCCTTTGCAAGTTTTCAATCTTTTCATTCACCTTGTTTACCAGTAGTGTTTGTAGAGCTTTTTGGGAACTCTCCTTTGGATTATTCATTAACTATTCTGTCACCTATCATGAGTGGGAGTTGAGATACCTGCACTTGCCATTTTTCTTGTGTTTCTCCAGCTTGTTCTGCCCGTTTGGTATGAAAGTAACACCAATTTCATGCTAGAACACTATTTTAAGGCAAGCATCAACCAGAGTCCTATAGTTGCAGAGTCAAAATACCTGCAGATACAATTTAGTTCAACAGATACAATGTATTCAACATCAAACAACTATGGATTAATGGGCTAAGAACATCAAAGAGGGATTCAGCAGGCCAAAGATTAATAGGTTTAGGGAGAATTGTGGGGAAAAATAGGATTAGAGGGATGTGTAGAGGTAAAAGGAAAGAGTGAATTTAATCAAGTCCTAATCTCAGAGAGGAAATGGATAGAACAGAATGAAAGGAGAGAGATAAACAAGAAAAAAATGAAAAAACAAAAATTTATATTTAAAAAATAAAACACTTAAAAATTATGCAAGTATAAAGAAATAATACCGAATGAAGAAAAAGACAGGATGAGAGGAGAGTGATAAAAAGGAAAAAATGAAAAAATAAAAAAAATTAAAATGGAATACTTAAAGATTATGTAGATATAAAGAAATAATACTACTATTAAAGAAGTTAAGCCTAAGAGGTTGTGAATTGAGTAATCAATTTCTGAATTAAGTACGTACACAATGAAGGATAAGGTCTAATAATCAACAACAGGTATATATCTGGGGGTGAGCAGAACATTAATTAAGTCATGCAAAAAAAAAAAAAGGACCAGAAGGTTAAAAGAGATCAAACACACACACACACACACACACACACACACACACACACACACACACACACACCCCTAAAATAAAAATTATAAAAGAAAACAATTGTTTAAAAAAAATTTTTAATTAGGTAGAAAAAAGTTCTTTGATTTTTTTGGGGGGGGGGTGTGGGGGAAAGAGCTTGTATCTCCCCTGTGTTCATAACCAATCTCTTGGTAGAGTCTCTGGTTTTCTTGTGGTGTTTGGTTTGCCTGTGGCTTGGTTGGTTTCTTAAGTCAGTTTGTTTGAGCAGGCAGAAAGAAGTTCTGCCTTACCCAGGACTTTGTGATCCTCCTCCCAGGCTAGTTCAGTGGGAGGGAGATCTGCTTTGAGTATCACAAAAGAGGGACATGGCTGTTTCCTCTAGCTTGGAGTTGCTGTGATGAGGCTAGGTACTGGGTAGGATTGAGGCCTATCAGCAATCAGTAGCTTTTTCCCTGAGGGGCTAGCTCATGAGATACTCATAGAGCCCAGCCTGGAGTCATTCTCAGGATTTATGTTTACTGAGTTTCAGTTGTTTATCTTTTACCCCTCTGCTGTTTATGCTGCAGTGGGGAGGGGCAGCCTCTGGCTCTGTTTATCCAGTGAAGAAAGCCACTCCTTTGTGGGTAGAGATTCCTCTGCCTGTGAAGGGCAACTTTCCCCTGGGTGGAGCTGAGCCTGGTGGTCAGGTCAAGTTCCTGTGACCTGGTGAATGTCTCCTATTGTTTTCTTCCAAGGCCTGAATTGGAGCTAGCTGCGTAGCCAGGCCTTTGTCAGTATCAAAGATGGAGTTCATCTCCGGTGGTGGGGGAGGGGGTACTTTCCCACTGCTGCTCGGTGAGAAGGAGTGAGGATGTCTTGGGTGTACTCACGCTAGCCTCTTGTTTTCTGGGCCATCCCTGGTCTGCAATCAGCATGATGAAGATTTCTGCTCTTTGTCAGTTCTTGCTGGTGGTGAGTAGAATCTGCTCTCACACCATGTCTGGCGCCTCTGTCCCAGGCTCTCTCTGTTGATTTGGCAGCTTAGGCAGCAGCCACCACCACCACCACTGCAGACATCGGCAAATGCTCAGATCAAGACCAAGCTGTCTGGATTTTTCCTCTTTGGCCAAACACCCTGTACTGTGATGGCACACAAGTGTGCCTAGGACTGTTCACTGGCACACTAAAACTGCTTTTTATGCAAGAGCTTGTTTAACCTCCAGCTTCTCCTCTGCTATCTTCCTCCAGACTCCGTTACTATGAGTTTTAAGTACCATCTTTGTTGATCATGAAACAAAGTCAAATCAGGATTCATATTGGGGGAGAGCTAGCAAATGGCAAATCAAAATCCAAATTCTGTATTCATTACTTATTTAATTCCTTTTATTCAAAATGGATTTTGCCCCCAGGAATTGTAATCTAACAACGAGTAACTGAACTATTGCGTAAAGAAAATAAGGACAGTATTTTGTCCCCCATCTATATCTCCAATCATATTGTGACAGTTGTTATAGCAGGAACTGGGAAATGCCCTTGAAGACATGACCTAGTGGAAGAAACAAGAAGTTACAAACCACATAGAGAGCAGAGCTATAACTTGGTGCAAGGAATTTACACACACACACCCTTAAATGGATATAAATCACTTGTAGAGAATTTGGCTTTGGAGAGATACAGATGCTAAGTTATCAGCCTCTTCCTAAGCACCAGATTATATACTGGATAGTAGTCTCAAAGCAGATCTTTCAAATTTTGATGAACAAGACAAGAAATCACATCTTGGACCTTTATAACTATTGCCAAATAAACAAAACCACTCAGGTAAAAGCTAAATATGCAAATGCCACCAAGCACAATACATTTACTAACAAATAGTGCAAGGTGGTAGATATTAGGGAATAATACAATAGGACTTACATTTTGGAAAATTCACTTTGACCTTACCTAGTGTTTCATTGTGCATTCTGATTTTTCTGTAATTGGTAGTTGAAATAAAGACAAGTAATGCGAAGAAAAATAGTTTTCAAAGTGAAACCACGGCATCTTTTCAGATTGTCTAGAGACAAACACAAGTGTGAAAGAACAGACAGAGATGAACAGTACAGTACAGAAGAGTACAGACAGGAAAAAAATACATGCAAGTATAGTTCTCATCTTGTTTGTCATTTTACTGTAGATCTTAGCAAAGTTCTTGATATGTAGTAAGTGCTCAAAAATACTCATCTCTGAATAAAAGGGAACAGTAGAATTCAGTATGACAGGGCTTGAGATATGTCTCCTGGAGTTAGGAATTAGGTTGATATTAGTAATGAATCTACATGTAACTTTTTAATCATTTAAGAAGATCATTTTTCCCACTACTAGGAAATACTTCATTTAAAAAATCTATGTATGAGGGCTGGGAAGGTGGCTCAGTGGTAGAGTGCTTGCCTTGCATGTATGAGTTCAATGGGTTCAATTCCTCAGCACCACATAAACAGAAAAAGCCAGAAGTGGTGCTGTAGCTCAAGTGGTAGAGCACTAGCCTTGAGCTGAAGAGCTGAGGGACAGTGTCAGGCCCAGATTTCAGGCCCCATGACCAGCCCCCCACAAAATGAATAAAAAAAATCTATGTGTGAATATATATACATATATAATATAAATATAAATGTATGTATATTCATATATAATTATATATACTATATGTTATATATAATATATTTTATATAACATATATATTCATATATAAATATATATGTATATATAGTCCGTTTCTCCATCCTATCTCATTTCTGTATGCCCAGCCCCCACACAAAGATAATCGCTGTAATTAGTTTTATTATCTATCTTAAAGATGCTCAGACTGTAAAATAACAGAAAAGAATCTTTTAGAGGTAATTACCATGGAGAAGCCTGTCCCTCCTGAAGAAGCTTACTTTTCTTCTCTGTTACTCCTCAGTAGCTGTGCCACTGAAACATTAAAACTATCCTTTTGAAGTGCTTAGAATAGTCTCTTACACACAGTAAATTTTGAGTCAAATATAAATAAATCTAATTAAAACTGAATACAAAGAAATTGACATCTCTAAAAATCAGATCAGTTCAAAGTAAAAACTGAATCCTACACTATGATCTTTCTTAATGTATAATTGTTGAATTAACTTCTTTCCTGCATATGTAAGTGGTTGCTAATCTATATAACCTCTTTCATTTTAAAGATTCACCGGTTCTCAGTCCAGCTAATTCTGCAATCAATTTAAGTGGAGCTCAGGACCTGACCCGGAATAAGAATGTTGTGAAACCTCTGGCTTTATCCTTGCAGGTGGTAGGGAAGACTTTTGCTGCAGGTGATGTTTTTCTTAATTATATTTCTTTGGTAAATCCATAGTCTACAAAAAGACTCGTGTGGATTTAGTTGACAAATTGGTCATAGAAACAGAAGGTGCTCTGCCTGCTAGTTGGAAACAAGAGTGGAGCTGTCTCTAAAAATGTAATATTATACAGAGCTTTTTGTCCTCTGTTTTTTTTTTCAGCCGGAAGAGTTAAGTAATATTTAGCACACAGAGGAGACAATGTGGTTTGATTCTGTTCAACAAACATACCTTGAGCTACTGCTCTGACTAGGAACTGAGGTTATACAAATAAATAAAGGATAATGCCTATCTCCAAATGTCCTTATAATCTAATAGGGAGACAGATATTTTCAGTGTCCTGCAGTCCAGCATTTTATGGAGTAGTAATCAAGAATGGGTTCTAGGAGGAGCATGGTCTTTACAAATGAGGAGACATGCACTGTATTAACAAGTAGAGGAAAGACATTTCAAATTCAAGGGACAATAGAAACAAAAGTTAAAAGGGAATGAAGGAAAATTGGTTATATAGGTGATGAACACCTATATAATGCCACCTCTGGAGGCTGAAGTAGGAGGATGCCAAGATGGAGGCTAGCTTGGGATATATAATGAAAACCTATGTCAAAAAAAAAACAAAAAAGGAAGGGGAGAGGAGAAAAAGGAACAGGACAAAATAGCATGACATATGCAAAAACTTCTAGCAGTCTTGACTTGTAAGAGCTATAAAATATACAACTCAGAATGTCCGGAGGTGGGCAAGTGATAGGTAAGGGAACTCTTGAGAAGGCAGGCTGAGAAGGATGGGTTTGACTCTAACTTACAGAGCAGAGGAGTGACATAGTCTGGCTTGAACTTGAACTAGATCATTTTGTCAGTAATATGTAAGAAGACAAGAGGTAGAAAGATTGGTTGGAATGCATTTGAATAGTCTAAGAAATGATGAGATCCTTGACCAGAGTGATAACTTGGAGAGGAGGAGACAAAGTGAAGAACTACATAGAAAGTCAAATCAGCCAGATCTATTGATCAATGTGAGCATAAAGGAGAAGGCATCTCAACTGACATCCATCTCTTTGGGCTAAAATTGTTATTGCCTGAGACAGGGAATGTGGAAGGAGGAGTTGATTTTTCCAGGAGGAGGTTGACTGGATATTTTGAGCCCGAGTTACCCTGAGACATCTAGTTGGAGCTGTTTAATAGTTGTTTAATTTACCATAGGGAGAAATCAGAACGCTTGTTATGAAGGTGAGATAGCAACAAGTAGGTAATATCATCAGGGTAATAACATCAGGCAAGGGGAAATACAAAAGGCGAATGGTAAACTATGGATGGAATCCCAGAAACCTCTGATGCTGGAGGAGAAGTGAAGTGGTAGTAGGAGAAGTAGAACAACAAGGAGATAAGAGAGCCTGTTGTTTTAAGAAATTTTCACATTAGGCATCATCATGTATGGAACCTACCTTGGTTCTTACTTCATCTCCATAACTTTATTTTAATTTTTTATTATTATAAAGGTGATGTACAGAGAGGTGACAGTTACATAAGTCAGGTAATAAGTACATTTCTTTCTTTCTTTCTTTCTTTTTTTGTGTCCGGTCGTAGGGCCTGAACTCTGGGCCTGGGCGCTGTCCCTCAACTCTTCAGCTCAAGGCTAGCGCTCTACCACTGAGCCACCTTCCCAGCTCCAAAAGTACATTTCTTTTTGAACAATGTCACTCCTTCCCTTGCTCTCTCACAGTGTTTTTCCTCCCATCCTCCCCCCCCCCAACAAGTTGTATAGTTCAGTTTCTATATAGTATCTAGTGAGTACCACTGCTGCATTTGTTCACTGTTTTCCCTCTATTTCTATTTGCCCCTCCTTGCCTTCCCAAATACAGATAAATAAAGCAAAAACAACAGCCAAGAAAATTCCATTTCCTAGAGTTAATTTTGGTAAATTTATTTTTTAAGAGTAGAAGCACATAGGCATTGAATCTTTGTGTTTTCCTCTAAGACTATCCTCCTTTGATCTCACTGTCTCCAGACTCTTTAGAGTCCTATATAATTAGAGATATAATTTATATTCAATTTGTTTTGGCAAAAGAATCACATGAGTACTACTGTCTACTTCCATGCGGAGTCATGAGTAGTATATAATTTATCATACCCTGAGGTATTTTAGATCTAGTTTCCACATATTAGAAAAAATATATGCTGTTTGTCTCTCTGAGCTTGACTTAAGATGATTTGTTCTAGGTCCATCCATTTTCCTACAAATGACATAATATTATTCTTTCTAATGGCTGTGTAAAATTACATTGTATATAGGTGCTACATTGTTTTGGATCCATACAACTATGGTAGGGCATCTGAGCTGTAGCCATAACTTGGCTATTGTGAATAGTACAGAAATGAACATCATCCCCATAACTTTTGCAGGACCTACTTCTAGTTTAATTACACACGAAAAAATTTAATTCAGGTTTTGGCAGCATTTAAAAAAAAATCATGAGCCATGTACCAATGTAATCCTAGCTACTCAGGAGGCTGTGTTGTGGAGATTCTTGGATTGAAGCCAGCTGGGGCAGATAGCTTCATGTTTAATTAACCAACAAAAAGTTAGATTGGAGGCATAGCACAAGTGGTAGAGCACCAGCAGTGAGCAAGCTGGTTAAAAGCATGAGGAATAATCATCATGGTTACTAAGATCATTAGATGAAAGGATGATACCACTGTATGCAATGGTTAGGCTGACAAGTCTTGATATTATAAGACTTAATCACTCTTAATATCACATGAAGAGAGAAAACTGGCCATTATGTGCCTCCCTGTGGAAGCATACAATACTACTTTAGACATTCTTTTGCCAAAACAAATTGAATGTAAATTCTATCTCTAACAATTCCTTTCTTGAAAATATAGAGGACAAAGGAATATTAACTGACACCATAAGCATCCAATCAGTAAAGTCCAGTAAAAGGACTTTCCAGTAAATGCAAAAAGAAAATCTTCAGATTAAAAGACATAAAGTACACGTTAACTGATTCCAAATGTGTAGAAAACCAATTTAAGTAAGTCGGCTCTAAAACTCCATTTCTGAAATACTTGAGAGAAAATAGAATACTGGTGAGGTGTTTGATGATGTTAAGGAATTAGTAATCATTGTTAAAATTTCAGTATAATAATAGTAGTTTTAACTAGAGTCCTTTTCTTTTTCCAATGAATACAATACTTCTTATGGATGAAATTATCTGATGAATGAATTTGCTTCCAAATAATCCAGTATACATGTGAGTGTAGGTACAGGGGAAAGAGGAACTGTGTATACAGGAAGCCAGTGGGCTCTATCAATAAATTTTGAAGTTAGATGGTGAGCATGTGGAACTTTATCATACAAGCTCACAAACTAAAATAATAATGTTAGTGCCTCCACCTTTCTAGCCACTTTCTTCAAAGACTGTATTGAAAATGATTCTGTAGATTCCCTGGGATCCTAGGAAAATTTTAAGTGACATTTAATCTTTTATTTTATTCCCTTTCCCCCCAGTACTAGGTCTTATCCTCCTGAGTAGCTAGGATTACTGGTATGAATCACCAGCACCCAGCTAATTTATTCTTTTTAATTGACATAGGACTTTTTTTTTTTTTTGCAGTATTGGAAATTTAACTCAGGACCTAGTTTGCCAGGCAGGTACTTTACCACTTGAGTCATGCCCCAGCTTTTTTCTGCTCTAGTTATATTTCATATAGGGTCTCTCATTCTTTTTCCTGGGCCAACTCCTAATAATATCTCTGATGTAGCATGTATACAACACTTGGATTATGACTGAGATAGGTAGGGTCTTGCTGACTTTTGTCATTAGACTGGCTTCAAACTGTGGTCCTCTTGATCTCTGCCTCCTAAGTTACTATGATTGCAGACATGAGCCACCACACCCAGCCATGACATTTACTTTTAATGAAGACACCACTCTAATGATTGTAGGTGTTTCTATGCAACTGGGCTGAGTTGTCTTGCTGAGATTTCCTTGAATCCTCATTTATAAGGTTTATCAGCTGGTTGCAACCCCACAGAAAGAAATGGTCTGCCAGCTTCTGTTCTGAGTGGCTCCTCTCTGGTTCTACAGAGGCTGCAAATGGGAACAGTAGTCAAGGAGGGAAGACTAGCACACCCAGCTCCACTCCAGCCCGCCCAGGGAACTACTCCTTGTCACCAAGACCTAGCTATGCATCTGCAGACCAAGGTACAGCACCCATCTTAGAGTTTTCCAATAATGTGTCTCATTATCATAGAAGCACTATAGAATCTTGAAAAATGAATTATCTGACAACACACTCTAGAGTTTTCCCTTTACTTGTCGCATAATGTTTTGAAGTTTTACAATTGGTGTGAAAAGTAATAATTAAATGTTTAGTGAGTCTATGTGAAAAACCCAAGTAAATGTTGAAATGAGTGTGTAATGAAACATCTTGGGGGAAAAAAAAAAACATGAGCTATACTGACCAAAATAAAGGATTCAAAGTCCCTCTTTCTTCTGTAGCCCTGAGCAAATAGGAGCCTTCCTTTCTCCATCCACAAAATAGATATATCAGTAACATCTTACAAGCTCACAGAGATATTGATAGAATCCAATGAAACAATATGGCTAAATTGTATAACCTAAACAACATTTAGATGTTAGGTGGTTCTTAATGTGATACTGGTTTGCTAGTATGACTTTTTAAAGCTTATCTTTACCTCTAGAAGAGAGACTTAGTTCTTCTAAGTAAATACAGCCCTATATGACTTTGGTATTCTCTCTTCCTTCTATATTGCTGAGGACAAAGCTATCTTTCTTTTTTGTCTTCAGCTACCATGTTCATTTCTGGACCACCAAAGAAACGACACCGGGGATGGTACCCTGGGTCACCAGTCCCCCAACCTGGTTTAGTTCTACCTGTTCCTACAATTCGCCCTCTTTCAAGAACTGGTAAGATTTTTTTTTTTTTGGTCAGTTGTGGGTCTTGAACTCTGGGCCTGGTTGCTATCCCTGAGCTCTTCAGCTCAAGGCAAGCGCTCTACCACTTGAGCCACAGTGCCATTTCTGGATTTCTGTTGGTTAATTGGAGATAACAGTCTCATGGACTTTTCTGCCTTCGCTGACTTTGAACCATGATCCTCAGATCTCAGCCTCCTGAATAGCTAGGATTACAGGTCTGAGCCACCAGCACCCAGCTGGTAAGATTTTTAAATAAGATGGGTTTTAAAGTTGCTTTGAAATTTGCATATAGATCTTTTTCTTTAGAAAATCTATTACATTTATAACCCATTTAGTTTTTTTTTAACTTTCCAAATTAAGAAGAAAATAGTCTGATATAGTTTTTTCTAAAACTACCATTTGAATGAAATCAGAGGCCAAAGAAAAAAATAAAAATAAAATAAAAAATAAAATAAAAATTAGACATGACTCACAAGTATATGATGATAAAAATACAATAAACAAAAATATATCAATTGCAACTTATGTCATCTTTAGGCTATTAATAGATTAGATGACAAGTATATAAAACCACAAATGAGATAAGACCCAGTGATTCATTAACAAGTAGAAAATTAGTACATGAATTCTAAAATAAATTGGCACTAACAACAAAGATAAAGTAGCAAAATAAAAAAGTAAACATGTAATAATACATTGTAACAACCCAGAATAACAATAGAATGTAATAATTGAATGTAACCATGCAATGTTACAGAAGGTAGTTCTTTCCAAAGGCCAAATAAAACTAGTAAATCTTTATTATACCTACATAAGAAAAACATGATTAGGGCTAAATTGCATATGTATCTTTTCTTCTGTATTTCCTCTGAATTCTTGAAGATAAATTTTCTTAATCATTATATAGTAAAAGGATAGTGATAGCGCTTTGTCTCTGTCACATCTACCTTCCCCCCAAGCACATGGGCCATCACAACTGATCTTAACCTTTAGCTTAGTTTTAGCCCATGTCATTGACAAGTCATTCATTATGTTGTGCATGATGCTACCAACACACCATCACAGATGGACTTGCTTTGTTAGTCATGGTGTTAGATTTGCACTTCTGTGATCTGGTTGTTAATTCTGTCCTGGATGCCTCATTCTGTGGCTAGAATCTGAAAAAGCAACTGGTTCTTGTTCATCCTACCCAAACTGTGGCCATTTGGTGTCTGCAAACATTTGTCTGCCTTGTTGTACTAAAGAGCCAATTCTAAGACACCAAGGAAATCCTTCTATGTTTAAAGAAGACTAAATAGAGACCTTGTATATGCAAAGAATCATGCTAATATGTTACTATGGTTGCTTCTAGGTAGTACTGATTAATGATAACTTTATCCTCCTCCAACTTTTTCTGTTCCTTACCAAATTTATATAATGGGAAAATATACCTTTGGTAATCTGGGGGGAAATTCAAAAATAAAGCAGAATCAAAAAGACTTTATGAAGAAGAAACAACTGAGAAAAACTGATAAATGAATGGTAGATACCTGATGATATGATTATGGAATATATGATATGGATTTCTTCCTTTCTTTGTTCTTCTTACTATTAATTTTATATAATACACATTAATTACATTACTAAAAAACAGTAAACTACTAGACTTTTAACATTTCTATATTAAAAGTATTAAAACTACATTGCCTTCCATTATTTTTCATTTAGCTTCTATGTCTAATCCTTCAAACAACTTTTTTTTTTCAGAGCCCCTTTTATCTGCCCCAGTTCCACAGACCCCATTAACTGGAATTTTACAACCTCGGCCCATTCCTGCAGGGGAAACTGTAATTGTTCCTGAAAACCTGCTAAGTAACTCAGGCGTTAGACCTGTAATTCTGATAGGTAAGGGAAGGAATTCCAACTTGCCTGTGTCTTCTGGAATCTAGGAATGTGCCTCTGTTTCATCATTCGTGGGTTTATTCATGCTCTCATGGGTGTGTATTCATTTATCACATGATTGATTTTTTTAGCTTTTATTGGTTAGCTCCTTCATGCAGTATTAAACATGTATTAAACATTAGAAGTTGAAAATAAGGCAAAGTCTTCTTGCCCGGGAAGAGCACCATCTGACCCCTACTAACCATGGTGGTCAGTAAACAAGCATTGTAGCCTACTGGGATAAGTGAACTGGCAGAGGTTCACAACCAAGACCTACAAGAACTCACCTCCATTCCTTTGAAGCAATGTTTGAGCTAATAGTAGACAGGAAGGGGAATGGGACATTCCAGTCAAAGGAAACCAAACAATAGAGGAAAAGAACAAGCTAAGCCAGTTAACAGATCTCACTAGAGACCCAAGAAGTCCCACAGTAATAGGTGTGAACCATGGGAAAGTACCTGTGAGTCAATATTTTTATAGAGTTTGTCTTTCCAGGCTGTTGTTAAATGAAAGTACAGAAATTTAGAAGTACTAGATTCTAGCACTAATTGTCTTTCATTCCTCCCATCTGAAGTCTCAGTTTGAGGCAGGCCTAGGCCAAAAGGAGATTGTCTGCTTTCCCTCCAGGATAAAGCAGGTGGGGTGTGTTTATATGAGTTGTTATCTATGCTTGTGGTTGGCCTAAGCGTACTAACTGGGAGGGTCTTGCTTCAAGCTCTGTGCTTTATCAGGACAGAACTCTGGAAGTTCCCTAAGAAAGATACCAAGAACATATCAACCCTTTGGTCTTTTGGTGCCTGTCTTTTAGAAAGTCTCATAGAGTGACTGTTCTTTCCACAACCAGCATTTATTTTCCACATATTTAATTCTATCTTTTTAAAATTCTAATTGGGGTCTGTTTTCTGGCATTCAGGGAAAGAAAAACTAAAAAATTCACTAGTACAAAAAAGAGGTGGAGGATCTCTACTAAGCACCTGCCACTGGTAGAATATTGCTGATAGCATAAGTTTTTCCCTCAGAAAATGAAAAACGTTGGGGTTTGTTTTTCTTTTTTTTTTTTTAAAGAAACTTGACCAGGAACTTTACCAGAAAACATTTTACCACAGTTTTGCAAAGGATGAAGAGATGTTTTACATCTTATCAGTCTTCTCTGGCAGAGCTATAATATTAACATGCCTCTGCTATGGGAAGTGGACATAATATAATTGGAGTATTTTGCTTTGTGTCCATCTCACTTACTATAGACATAGAACTTAGAGCATCCAATTGAATTCCCTAGGATAGATACCTTTGAGTGACTTGTTTGATAGCTATCTGAGAGGGCAGGGAATTTTGTTGAGCTCCCTTGCTGCTCATGAAGCAAGTGTTCATGGTTGGACCACAGAGAGAAATGTTGAACTATGTTGACCTGCTTCTGTTGGGGCAGGCTATGGCACTTTACCCTATTTCTATGGAAATGTTGGTGACATTGTTGTGAGTCCTCTGCTGGTGAATTGCTACAAGATTCCACAGTTGGAAAACAAAGATTTGGAACAATTGGGGTTGACCAGTAGCCAGCTCCTGAGCGTGGAAAACATGATCCTTCTGACCATCCAGTATCTTGTGCGCCTGGGTAAGTATTTTCCTTAGTCACTGGCTGGTGATTATTATTGTTATTATCCATACTGTTTTCTTTCTTTTTTGAATTTATTCACCTTCCTGCCTTGTATTTCCTTCTTTCATTTCTAACATTCTTTTCCACCAGCCCAGTTTCTATGACTTTCCTTTTTCCTCCATTGCTTTGCTCTTTTCCTTTTCTTTTTGCTTCTTTGGTTCTTTATAGAGGTGAATTGCTCCACCTAGTGTCCAGTCTTATGATGCTCCTCAAAGTAGCTGATGGAGGCAAAACCTTAGAGGGTTGTGCTGTGGGACACCCTTCTCACTGGGGAGTCTAGCCAGCAGCCTTTCCCAAAGCACAGCTACTCTCTGGAATGCAAATACAATCTTTGCCTTAGACAATTGTTTTCCAGTTTTCCACATAGCCTTTTAACCTTGCATATCCACTGCCCCTTGCCCATTTTTTATTTCTCCTTTGATGTAGTCTCATGATGTTGATGCTTTCCTTCATGTAGGTAGTAACTTTGGGCTTCCCTGGAGGGTTCTATGGGGTAAGGGGGGTACATAGGTCATGAACCCTTCACTTCCTCTTAACCCCACAGTGGGTATATGCAGGTGTCCTGACAATACTGTAGAGATTCAGCAGCATTTACATTGAAATGTCCTTTATTTTGCAAACTGCAGTAAGCCATTGATTATGCAGCCTAATTACACATTCACTCCAGAATTTCAAGCCACTGATGTACTTGGATGAATGTTTGAAGTGTAAAATCACAACATAAATATATTTGTGTATAGTCATAAGTTTATTTAGTATTAGAAAATAGTTTGTTGTTAAGAAATGATTTTTTAAAAATACCGGGATAAACAGTGTTTTTTAAAAAAAAGTTTTGGCAAGCTAGAGTCAGCCTCTAGAACATTCCATTGCAACTGTGCCTAGAACACTTAAGAGGCTGGCTTCACATGGACTCCACTTTGACAAAAGTTTTTGAGACCTGCAGGGCCTCAGCTTTTCCAAGGGAGCCACTTTCATGACAAACCTAGGACTTGTAAATCAGACTACTGGTAGGTAATAAAGTTAAAAACTCACCTGTCTATAGATCATTTGATGTCATAGTTTTAGGTAAGCACTATTCTACTTGAGCCATACCCTCAGTCCAAATGTTACAGCTTTGCTACATACTGACTTTGAACTACAGACAGTTTTCTAAGACCTAAAAGTTGCTTCTAGATGCTTCCAGCAATGTTCTAGAGCCAATCACTATGTCATTTTGTTCAACCTTAATAACAATTTAAAGAAACAAAGTCCAGGCTAATTAAATATCCTGTATGATCAAAATAAAATACCTTCTTTTAAATTATTAAAACTTTTTCTCTTAGAAAATTTCACTTAAATTATATGAGACCCTTTTCTGTCATGATCAATTTTCTCCACAATTTTACTTTCCATTAGGTCTCTCAAAATGGAACATGAATAGATAGGTCTTTCTTCTGTTTTAATGTAAACATAGTCCATTGGAATTTCTCTGCTCTTCAACTAACTATTCTGGAGTCCTTCAAAAACGTTTTTGTTTGTCCCCACAGATCTTGAGAAGGCAGCAAGAATATTTTCACTTATTCCATAGATGATTGACATTTTTTTAAAAATGCAAGTTTTTTAAAGCATGATTTTAATGGCTCAGTAACCCAGTTCCTGAGAGGTAACAGAAACAGAATAAGATTCTCCAAGAACAGGCTTCTATGATAGTCACTTCTAGAAAACCTTTTTCTGTTATTTTACAATCTGTACATCTTTTGAGACAGATAATGAAATCATCAAATCCAGAAACTGTTGGAGGATTGCAAGTCTGTTGTAAGCCTGTTTTTTCACATCAAGATAGCTCTATCTGAAAAGCCATCAGACTGATGTCTGGGTTACATTGAACTCCTAAAGATGGATGAGTTCCTAACAGGAAGAACTTGCTCTTATCAAGCTTGAAAAATGTGGAGAAAAGGCTCCTGTAATTTACTGTAAAGGCTGAAAATGAGGTAGTCATGGTTGATGACTAGAAGAAATATATTTTGTTCCAAGAAATCTCTTCCCTTGTTTAAGCTTCAATACATTTTCCCTATTTTTGATTTGTAGCTTTAGATTCAATCCAAACTCTCCAGAAGTGAGTTGTAAGATAACAGAGAATGCTGGGAAAATGTTGGATAATTTTAATTTCTCAAAATTCCTTTATATTTGGATTTAATTAATAGGACATGTTGCTCAATCCTAGTTTGGAATGGTTCTTAAGGATACCACTATGAACTACCTAGGCCTCTGAGATTGCAGGTTGTCAATTAGATATAGGAAATTAGAGACAAGGCTACTCGCTTTTTGGCTGCCATAAGTTCTGGTGGGACAAAGCTTTGAATCATTTAATATAGTCAGTACAAATCTAGCCACTCTGAGCTCAGTAATATATAGTTATGGGGCTGGGGGTTAGCTCAGTGGAAAAGCACTTGCCTGGAAAGTGCAGGGCTTTGAGTTTGATTTTCAGCTTTACATAATAATTACAATAACAGTAACAATAATAAAAAATAGTTACTACTAACCATGATTTTAAGTAGATAAAGTGGAATGAAGATCAGAAACCTTATGATTCCCTAGTGATTTTGAAACAAAACAAAACAAAAATACCCACCATCAGATTTCCTCTAGCAAGTAGTTGGGAGGACATCAGAAGTAAATAGCAGCACTGCCATCTTTAACCTGGGGTCTAATTCATGCTAGGCAAGCTAGCTCTACCATTGAGCTACACCCACAGCACTAGAAGCAAATTTAAGCATTCGGAATTTCTTGCTGTTTCTATGAATAGAAAACAAGCAATTATCTATGAGGATTCCACTCTTCTATCTCTCACCCAACCAGTCCTGGAAAACTTTTAATTATTTAAATTACTTTTCTTAATATATGGTAGTTTATTTAATATCTCTTGACTTATAAAAGATGGCCAAACCTCCCATTTCCTTTCTGTCCCAGAAAAGATGGGAAAAGGCCATTTTGAAAGGGAGACTCTTAAATCCCCATGAGAGAAAAGAATGATTTCTGACTCCCTAAAGGTGACTTCTTCCAGACAGAAGTCCTGTTCTTATCTCTTGTGTTCTTTCATAAGGGGCCTTTAGCCCCAGGTTCTGAAGTCTGTGATCACAGATACTAAGGAGTCTGTGTCTATTGGCCAGAGCCCTTGAGTTTCAGATATCAGATTCACACAGCCAAAGAAATGACAGAGTGAGTGAATATATTCTCCCTGGTTTTAATTGAAATTAAATGTAGAAAGAAGGTTGGCTTCTAGTTTTATTAGTCTTTAACAATGTCCAGTATGTCAAAGTGAACAAGTCAGGAAATATACTAACCATTATAACCATCCCACAGGACTTACAATGGAACTGATGCATGTTTTAGTATATTCTCCTTTAAGGATATTAGAAGTTAGGATGGGAATGTGGCTTAGTGGTAGAATGCTTGCCTTGTATGCATAAAACCCCAGGTTCCATTTCTCAGTACCACATAAGCAGAAAAAGCCAGAAGTGGCGCTGTGGCTCAAGTGGCAGAGCACTAGCCTTGAGCACAGAGAGCTCAAAGTCAGTGCCCAGGCCCTGAGTTCAAGCTCCAGGATTGGGGGGGAGGGGAAGGCAGGGAAGTGGGGGGGAAATAGTATAAGTAACATGGAAGAATAGGATTTGCTTTTATTGAGGCTGAAAGAGAGGAGAGAAGGAAATTTCACAATAAGGGATTATTAGGGATTCTGTGCTCAATATCACTGAGAGAAAATGCTTCCTTGCCAGTTGGAGTGTGGTAGGCTTAGAAGAATTGATGGATGCTGTGTGTCTCTCTTTTCTACCTGTGATTTTTTTTTAACTTTAGCTGTAATTCTCTTCAATATAGGTCCTGATCAGATACCTCTCAGGGAGGAATTTGAGCAAATTATGCTGAAAGCTATGCAGGAATTTACTCTGAGAGAGCGGGCCCTGCAGATGGGAGCTTCGTGTACCCCAGTGTCTCCAGGACAACTCCCCTGGCTTGCTAGATTAATTGCCAGTGTGTCACAAGACTTGGTTCATGTGATTGTGACTCAAAACTCTTTAGCAGAGGGCATTTCAGAGACATTGCGGATTCTCAGTGAAATAAGACACTATCAAAGGTTGCCAGATTATGTGGTGGCAATTTGTGCATCAAAAATCAGAGGAAATGAGTTTTGTGTGGTGGTGCTAGGTGAGTAGTATTTTGTTGTTGTTGTTGTTGTTGTTGTTAATGAATTCATTCAGTCACCTGTCCATTTGAAAAAATAGCCATGAAACATTTTAAGATATCCACATAATCAACCTCTAGTTAATTTCTTCAATTTCTATTCTTCCTCCAATTTTACTTTTTTTTTTTTCTTTCCTCCTCAGATCAGTTGGTGTGGCACTCAGCTTGGCCCGTGTCCTTGTCAGCTGGTTATGGCATTCTTTCAAAGCTTACCCTGTAATAGATACCCTTGTCTCATGTAACTTCTGTCCTTAAACGGTTTTAGAAATGTTACCACTCCAGCATGTGATAGAGCCAGTGCCACAGGTGGCTTATGCCAGTTAGTTACAATTGCCAGACACTTACTCATGCGTTCCTATGAGGTTCACCAGAGTTGATTTTATAACACTGACTCTAAATAGTGCAGTATTTTTTCCTTTGTGCAAATTTTCTACTAGGTACCATTCTATGTAGCCAGTCAGACTGAGTTTTACTTCTCTGCTGTCTACTTCTCCGCCTGTCCTTCTTTCTGTGTTATGTAAGTTTTCAGAAAACTTCGTCAGATGGAATTGATACATTAATTTTATTTTATTCTCTAAAAACAATCTAGAAACAGAAATTTATATTTTAAAGATAATCTTTATAATAACCATGTAAAACAATATATAAAGTATTTTTATATGTTTTCACTGTTACAAACATATGGTACATAATTTTCTCTCTTGATCAACTAGCTTTATATTATGACCATTTTCTATTGCTGTCTAAAGTGTTCAAATCACCACTTCAAAGGCCGCTTACTTGTCCACATCCTTTGACCATCTTTTGGTCTACCATGATATTCTTTTTTTTTTTTTTTTGGGCAGTCGTGGGTCTTGAACTCTAGGCCTGGGTGCTGTCCCTGAGCTCTTCAGCTCAAGGAGAGTGCTCTTGAGCCACAATGCCACTTTCAGTTTTCTGGAGCTTAATTGGAGATAAGAGTCTCACGGACCTTGCTGCCTGGTCTGGTTTTGAACCACACTCCTCAGATCTTAGCCTCCTAAGTAGTTAGGATTACAGGCATGAGCCACTAGTGCCTGGCTAGCAGGATATTCTTAATGGTTTATAGTTTACAACTGTGGCTGTTAGAATTAATGTTCCAGTGAGCATTTTTCCCTGATGAGTCATCTCTTCTCCTTTCTATCCTTCAGGCCAACATCAGTCCCGGGCTCTGGCAGAGAGCATGCTCACCACAAGTGAGTTTTTGAAAGAAATTAGTTATGAGCTCATCACGGGAAAGGTCAGTTTCCTGGCATCACATTTCAGAACCACGTCATTAGGTGAGTGGCTTTAAGATTCAGCAACACTGCCAGCCCCTAGCTTTGTGATTGTATGAATTTAAATGCTAACCTCTCAAGATAAGTATGGAGCTTAAGCTTGCCAGCTGATCATTTGAAATGGTTTATCCTTAGTGTTTTGTGACTAACGTCACAGGAAGCAGCAGAGTCCAGAGGAAGGCGCATGGATACTCTGATCAAGGGTTCAGCTTAGCATGATTTTTGAATGACCTTGGGCATCTCTTAACCCCTCTCTCTCTTCTCTCTGCTCTTTTTCCTCTCTCTCTCCTTTCTGATATGTCACATGAAGGTAGAATAATATTCTGCCTGCTTTTGAATGTGATTCAAGTGAAGAGATAGATGCCCAGGGTGTGAAACATGCTAGATGGAAGCATGTACTCTAAGGATAGATTACTGGTAACAGCAGCTCTTGCCATTGAAACAGCACCATAGACATGGCTAGGTATAAACTTGGATATACATTGCTGGGTTACCATAGATCTTGTTGAGGCCACTGCCTAACTGCCAAATTTGGAGACTGATAAAGATACAAGTGTATCACTTCTTGTAACCTTCTTATCTTCACTTTATTTGGACATAGGTGATGACCTGGATAAGCTACTCGAAAAAATGCAACAGAGAAGAGGAGACAGTGTGGTCACCCCTTTCAATGGAGATCTTAATGAATGTGTGTCACCCCAGGAGGCTGCTGCTATGATCCCTACCCAAAATCTGGGTAATGTTGCTTCAGTCTAACAGACAGAAATCAGACATTGGGACAGATACTATTGAAGCTTAGGGTTTTGAGTTGTCTTCACATCTCAGACTATAATAGGTTTTTGCTCCTGTCTACATGATAAATCTGGTTCAGATTAAAATTCATTTACCTTGGAGGGAGTGACACTGTTCAAAAAGAAATATACTTACTACCTGACTTATGTAATTATAACCCCGCTGTTATATCGCCTTTACAATAAAATTTAAATTAAAATAAAAAGCCCCAAAAATAAATAAATAAAATAAAATTTAGTTACCTTGTAGCCTGGATTAAAGACCTTATTCTTAGTAAAAATTAATTAATTAAAAAATAAAACAAATAAGTCTCTTATAATTAAAACTGAGATCAAACACTCCAGCTTTTCTGTGGTTTATTTTGCTTTTGAGATAGTTCCTTGCTATGTAGCCCACAGGCTAGCCTGAAACTTGAAATCCTCCTACCTCAGTCTCCTGAGTACTGGGATTACAAGCATGTACCACACCTGGCTAAATACTTTATCTTAAACTAACCATCATTTTTCCATGGGAGATCCCATGGAGCCTCATTTTTCCCCCTTAGCTCTCTACTACTAGGTTGGCAAAGGCTTCAAAGAACTCCATGAAAGAATCTAGACTACAGACAACACACAGAACCCCTGGCTGCTACTATGTCATATGCGTTTTTGTTTGTTTTGTCGGTCATGGAACTTGAACCTCAGCTCTTTAGCTCAAGGATAGCACTCTACCACTTGACCCACAGCACCACTTTTTTTTTTCTGGTGGTTTATTGGAAATAAGAGTCTCAGAGACTTTCCTGCTCCGGCTGACTTTGAACCGCAATCTCAGATCTCAGCCTCCTGAGTAGCTAGGATTACAAGTGTGAGCTACCAACATCTGCTTCATATGCCTTCTAACTTGTAGAAACCACAACCTCTGGAGGATGAAACTTTCCTGACCACACCAACACATAATCTTCCCTACAACAAAACCCCAAAGGCTAGGGATAATGAGTCAAATCATTAGATTGGATTCCTTCTGGTTAAATTCCTTTCCAGATTCACTGATTGACAAGTACAACATTGGAGAAGACAGGAAAAAGCACTAGAGAAACAAACCCACGCAAGCTGTTGCTGACAGCCATTTGCTCCCCTCCCCATAGGAATGCATCATTTATATATCATTGTGTCAGGCAGTAAGGTAACATGGCATCATCTCTGAGTGAAAAAACAACTGCAAATGAAATATTTCGACTTCTGAGCTGTATTTGGTAGTAAAGCAACCATCCAGATGAACTAAAATGTGTTCCTATTAACTATTTTTGAGATGTTAACAAATACAGAACTTAAATTTTAAAGTACTTGCCAATCCCCAAAGATATAGGTTCTCTGTTCGAGAATGTTACTTAAAGAAAATTTTATATATACATGTATATATATATTTCATTAAACTTTAAATTTTACTAAGGTCCACAGATTTATGATTATGTTTAGTCTCTACTCAGCCAATGTGTGAAATAAAGGAAATAATATCCTAACTACATATTAGAAGACTGGCTTATTTAGCTTGGTAGTCTTTGTGAATAAGAAAAATCTCCTTGGCATACTATTAATTTTTTTTCTGTGTGTAGGGATCAAACACATATCATCCATACTACACAAGTGTGTTGCCTGAGCTACATTCCTGGCCATACTACTAAAATTTGCAGCTTTGGACTTTACCAGAGGGAAATACTACACCAATCTCTACTCATGGTCAGCTACAGTGTTATGACTGCTGTCTGCCTCAGCCATATCTTAGTTTGATATTTAGACAACATTGACACAGGCTAATTAGGGCCTGGTGATTTTTATTTGGTCAGACTGCCAACATGTGTTCCTGATAACAGCAACAACAACAACAAAACTCTTTAAAGAACTTCTTTTAGGGCTGGGAAGGTGGCTCTGTGGTAGAATGCTCACCTCGCATGCATGAGGCCCTGGGTTCGATTCCTCAGCACCATATAAGCAGAAAAAGGCGGAAGTGGTGCTGTGGCTCAAGTGGTAGAGCACTTGCCTTGAGCTGAAGAGCTGAGGGATAGGCCCAGGCCCAGAGTTCAGACCCCACAACCGACAAAAATAAATTACTTTAAAAAAAAAAAGAACTTCTTTTAGAATTATTTTGCTAAGCTTGGTTCTTTCATTGTTTGTGTGATGGAGAAATGCTGTCACATATACCAGAGATTGATCACTTGATTACAATTTACAATAAAAAGTTTCTGATATGTATAGAGTGCCTGGATAGTGTTTTATAATCTGTCACCTGTTGGGAAGCCAGCTGGCTGTGCTACCTAGCAGGTCTCTTCAGATAGTCCTGGCATCAGGGCTGGCACTGACCAAGAGCACTTAGGCCTGCCAGGTCACAAGTGCTGGCAAAGTGGAGTGGGAAGAAAGAGAAGGGTGATGTTTCTGTGACCTTTGTTGTTCATTCCCCAGCAAGGGGATTTCAGGCCAGGTGGCAACTGACTTGCTGAAGCAGAAATGTTTACTGTGGTGCCACCCAGAAAAGCCCAACGGAGCTGAGCATTATAGTTTCAGCATTGCCTCCTTCCCTGAGTGAGGTCTGAGCTGGGACACTGGCCCCACCAGTGCCCCACTGTGTGTGAGCTCACACACACACACACACACACACACACACACACACACACACACACACACACACACACACACACACACACACACGGAAACTCCCTTTTCTATAGATGGCACCTAGCTCCAGCTGTAATCGTGCAGGAGTACCTTTATGAAACTGCCACATCAACTCCTGAGCACGTTTCCTTAGCAAAATTTTTGGGGAAAATAGGCAAATCTACCAAAACTCAGTATCATATGAGAATAGTAAGCAAAAATTCTTCATGATAAAGCATTGTTTTTCCTGTGACATGTCCCATATGGAATTATAACAGCCATCATGGAAATAAAAAATTAATCTTCTAATTTTTTTTCATTTTAGATTTAGATAATGAAAGCTTCCAAATTTATCAACCACAGCTTACTGTTGCCAGAAAACTCTTATCCCAGGTATGTGCTATTGCTGACAGTGGCAGCCAGAGCCTGGACCTCGGCCACTTTAGCAAAGTGGACTTCATCATCATTGTCCCAAGATCGGAGGTTCTGGTCCAGCAAACTCTTCAACGGGTTCGACAATCAGGTAGGAGTGAACTTACCAAGTTCTCCACCAGTTTAGACCCCTCTGTCTCTTCCTTTTGCTTAACCCAGATATTTAGAGACTATGTAAAATATTCATCAATAATAAAAGTCACAAAAGCACTTTAAATTTTACTTCCAAATTATCTGTGAATTTTTTTCTAAGTACTCTGACCTTCTCCTCTCTAAGATCAAGGGTAAATTAATGTGAACGTCAGCCAGATATTGTTAAGTCTGTGATGTTGTCTTTGGGACTGGAATGTGGTCATTTACTTAGGAAGAGAAATTTTCTCAAGACAAGCAGAATTTATAGGAAAGATGGAATTTGTGTCACTTGAACTGCTCACATGCCCAGAGAGGACATGCTCTCAGAGATAGATTCTTAGACATTTAGGACACTGTCAGCATATTTCCTTTTTTTTTTCTTTTTTAAAATTATCTTTAAGTAATTGCACAAAGGTCAGAACACCATTCTCCTTGTCAATAATGAGTAGACTCATTTAAAAAAAATACTAAGTTAGCTACTTGGGAGGTATGATAAGAAAGATCAAAGTTTTAGGCAGCCCAGACAAAATGTTATTAGCAAGATCCCCATCTCAATTAATAAGCTGGGCATAGTGGTACACACGTGTGATCCCAGCTACATGAATAGTATAAATAAGATTGTGATCTGAGGCTTGTCCTAGTTAAAAAGGAGACCCTACCTGAAAAATGACTAAAGCAAAAAAAAAAGGGGGGGGGGGCAGGGGGAAAAATAATCATGTGTAGAGCAGCTGCCTAACAAACACAAGGCCACAAGTTCAAACACCAGGAAAGAAAAAACTAATTATTCCTAATAACTTTGAGAAACTGAGTATAAAGGAAATATATTGTCTGCAAAAAATATAAGAAGATGAGAGAGCAAAATTTTTACAAGTCTGTGATAAATAATAACTTTTAAAAAATAAAATTTGCTTAAGCCGGGTGCCTATAATCCTAGCTACTCAGGAGGCTGAGATCTGAAGATCACTGTTCAAAGCCAGCCCAGGTATGAAAGTCTGTGGGATTCTTATCTCCAATAAACCACCAGAAAACCAGAAGTGGTGCTGTGGCTCAACTGGTAGAGCATGGCCTTGAGCTGAAGAGCTAAATGACAGCACCCAGGCCTAGAGTTCAAGCTCCATGACCAACAAAAAATTAAAAAATAAAATAAAATTTGCTTAAAACTAAAAGAAAGAAAGAATTTAGAAAATTGGGACAGTGCTAGCCTGTGCAAAACTAGGTTTGAAAAGAAAATTATATGGGGGCTGGGGGTTTAGCTCAGTGGAAGGGCGTCCACCTGACGAGCGCAAGGCCCTGGGTTCAGTCCTCAGCCCTGGAAAAAAAAAAGAAAATTATAAATATCAATTTCCTTTTGAGGACTTTATCTTTGAGAAATACACACACACACACACACACACACACACACACACACACACACGAGACAGAGAGGAGAAGAGGAAATAGGACAGAGAGAGACAGACACAAGGCAAAGTCAGAGACAGAGGGGAGAGGTTTAGCTGGAAGATACTTTTTTTTTTTTTGGTCCGGTCATGAGGCCTGAACTCTGGGCCTGGGCGCTGTCCCTCAGCTCTTCAGCTCAAGGCTAGCGCTCTACCACTTGAGCCACAGCACCACTTCTGGCTTTTTTCTGCTTATGTGGTGCTGAGGAATCAAACCCAGTGCCTCATGCAAGCAAGGCAAGCACTGTACCACTCCGCCACCTTCCCAGCCCTTGGACAATAAATCTTTGTGCCACATTAAATTTTTTTATTTTCAATATATTTGAAATAAGTGGCAGGAAAATGAATGAGTTCAAAACTGCAGGGCTGTGCTAGTCACCAGTAACTCACATCTGAAATTCTAGCTACTCAGGAGGCTGAGATTTTAGGATTGCAGTTCAAAGCCAGTCTGAGAGACTCTTGTTCCAATAAACTACTACTAAAAACAAGCTAGAAATGGAACTATGGCTCAAGTGGTAGAATGCTAGGCTTGAGCAAAAATGCTGAGTTCAAACATCGGAACCAGCACCCACAAAAAAAAAAGTGCAGGGTTGTATAAGAAATATTCTCAGGGCTGGGAAGGTGGCTCAGTGATAGAGCACTTGCCTTGTATGCCTGAGGCCCAGGGTTCGATTCCTCAGCACCACATAAGCAAAACGATAAAAGCCAGAAGTGGTGCTGTGGCTCAAGTGGTAGAGCGCTAGCCTTGAGCTGAAGAGCTGAGGGACAGCACCCAGGCCCAGAGTTCAGGCCCTACAACTGGACCCAAAAAAAAAAAAAAAAAGAAATATTCTCAAGTGGCTCAGTGGTAGAGCGCATGCCTTGCATGCCAGAGGCCCTAGGTTTGATTCCTCAGCACCACATAAGCAAAAAAGAAAAAAGCCGGAAGTGGCGCTGTGGCTCAAGTTGTAGAGCGCTAGCCTTGAGCTGAAGAGCTGAGGGACAGCGCCCAGGCCCAGGGTTCAGGCCCCATGACCGGACCCCCCCCCCCCCCAAAAAAAAAACAACAGAAATATTCTTTTGTTAATTTCAGTGGCTAAAGGAAACTCTCTGTGACTTCAACTAACACATGAGACATCTTGTCACAGCTGCTGGAACCTAGTGCGATTTCTTAGCCTCTAAATTTCTCAATGCCAAGTTACTAATTGACCTGTTAGAAAAACTGACTTGCTGGACAAGAGAAGGCCCTCCCTCACAGCTCTCTCAGAAACCAGAGTGAACCCTCGATTTTGTCAGCCACTGGCCATTCTGCAATGGCGGGGCTTCCCCCACACCAAGTGGTAACCACACATTTTGTTATTCCTCACGCATTCTCTGTTCCATTCATGGAAGGAGTGCCTTCTCTTTTAGGTATTTTAGTTGCACCAGTTGGTATTTGTGACCAGTCTCAGTTTGTAATCTGCTATCTTAAGTGATACTTGAATAAACACATCATAGCAGCTATTTGAAGTGGTGAACTCATCTACAGGGCCTTTCCCGAAATAACCTCTCAGTGACCTGCACTTTTACCTTTCCTAATAAATGCAAACAGCTAAATAGAATCTTACATTTTTGACAGATTCAGACATTGTATAGGGCTTTCATTTTCCCCTTCTTAACACCTTCAGATTTTTCTTAGTTGTTTTAAGATTGTCATACCTTAGAAAGTACCAGAATCTGACCAGTTAACCTAAATTTAGAATTGAAATTTAAAAGTCAATATTATGAACAGATTTGGAAAAATTCAAGGCAAAACTGACTTTGAATTGCATCCCTCAGATCTCAGCCTCCTGAGTAGCTAGGATCACAGGTGTGAACCACCCAGGCCTGGCTCAAAACATTTTTTTAAAATTTATTCAGGTCTAAAGCCAGGTACAGGTGGCTCACACCTGTAATCTTATTTACTCAGAAGGCTGAAATCTGAGGTTCAAAGCCAGCCTGGGAAGGAAAGTCCACAAGACTCTAATCTCCAATTAACCATCAAAAAGCTGCAAGTAGAGTTTGTGGTTCAAGTGGTAGAGCACCAAACAGCCTTGAGTGAAAAAGCTGATGAACAGTACCCAGCCTTGAGTTCCTACCCCTTTATCAGCGTGCTTACACACACACACACACACACATTATCCAGGTCTAGCTTTGACATACCTGCTAAAACATACTGCAAAAACAATCACTTTTATGTATTTAAATTTATTGCCCATTTTTAGTATAGAAAAGAGCAGGACTATGATGCTGATTATGATTTTGAAAAGTAAAAGAAAATGGGAAAATGTAAACCTTGTTGGGTTGAGGTGCTGCTTAATGGTTAAGAATGTACTCCTCATGCTTGAGGTGTTTGGTTCAATTCCCAGCACCAAAACACAATTTGCATTTGTAATCCCACTATGCAAGGATAACCAATATAAAAGTTTTGTTGTTAATAGATGACTTAAAACACCTGGTATCATTTGTCTTCTCCTGATATGATAGTGTCATACTTTCCCATGTTACAAAAAGCCATTATAAGCAATACTCAATGCATAAATTTCTTTGTCTTGATATGAAATACTTTCATATTTTAGGAACACAGCAACTGATAGAAGAAAAAAGCCCATACACATGTTATGGTATAAAGAGAAATTGTCCAGAGACATATTTCCTAAATACTTAAGTGGGGGTTGTTTTTATTGAAATAACTTAAATATCATGGCTATTAACACAAATGGAATTCCCAAGAAACCATCTGACTCCGTTTCCTTGTGTGCCATGATATGAATTAAGGAGAGCTTCACTTGAGTGAGGTCACAAGGGTCAATCTCTTGAGAACGAAGATCTATATTTGAATGGAGGGCCAGGGGGAGAGCAGTAAAAAATAATGTCCATGGGCTTTTCTTCTGATTCCACTTGCTCTTTCCCTTAAGAAAGCAGTGCAGCTGCCAGCCGGCCAGGAAAAGCATCAGTCAGGGAAATTGGGCCAGAGCATGCAGATAGGCCACATCCTTGGCAACCCACTCTGGCTGAAAGTAAAAAAGATGGAAATAGAAACGACTTCATTGTTTCAGACACAGCATTGAGGTGAAGCATGTGATATACAACTCACTTTCCAATTAAGAAAGGAAGGAAGGGCGGGGGGAGTTCAGAGAAGAGGAGGAGGAGAAAGAGGAAGGGGAACAAGAAGAGGAGGAGCTCAGTACAGTGGCTATTCCTATAATCCTAGCTACTTGGGATATGGAGGTTGAGGTATTGGGATTTGAGGACAGTCTGGGGATGAAAGTTCACAAGACTCCATCTGAGTACAATGGCCTGTGCCTGTCTCCCCAAGCTACCAGGGAAGCACAAGGGCTGGGTGTGGTGGCATGGGCCCAATGCACTAGAACAGCTTGGGGAATAAAACATCATCTTGAAAATAACCAGTGTAAAAAAAAAGATCTAGGGCATGGCTCAAACGGTAGAATGCCTGCTTTGCAAGCACCAGGCCCTGAGTTCAAATCTCTGTACTGAAAGAAAAAAAGAAAATGTTATGGGAGAA